TGTCTGAGCTATAATTAACAATCTGAAAACCACATACCACAAAGTTTATGCTTATTTTTAAATTGTTATTTGTAAAGCAGGAAACTCCTTTGCATTTATTTACTCTCATACACAATGAAGCCTTTGGTTCATGCTAATATGCATTTCCATCCCCCAGGAACAGGTTGTGCTGAGGCTGGAAAGAGCAAAGGGTCTAAACAAACTTGTTTATTTTCATATTACATTGATATAACCAAAGAATCCCATCCTGTCCCCTAGATCAATCTCTTGGGTCATCATTAAAACACAGCTCCTAGTCTTTGTGGTGGCTTATAAAAATGGATTTGTCAGTGTCTTATGACAAAATACATAAATGTAAATGATAAACGTATACATGAACAAAGTATAAGTTGGAATGTTTTCATAGTGACTTGCATCTACCAAAAATTTTAACAAGAATTTTTAAAAATACCATCACACACACACACACATTCCCAAATTACAAATGTTGTTTTAAAACAGTGTGGTAGAGTAGTGTGTAAAGCTACCAAATGTGATGCCAGCTCCCATGTGGGTTCCAGTTTATGTCTGGCTGCTCGACTTAAGATCCAGTTCCCTGTTGATGGAAAATAACTACATCCTTACCAAGATCATAGTAAGAGTTCATCCATCCTGGGACCAGTGTGTAGCTTAGCATGTAAAGCTGCCATTTGTGATAACAACCTTTATCAAGTGCCAGCTGCTCCACTTCCAATCCAGCTCCCAAATATTGTCCTGGGAAAAGTAGCAACAGTCCTGGGCTCCTGCCACACACGTGGGAGATTCAGATGGAGCTCCTGTATCCCACTGGCCCAGCCTTAACAGTGTGGCAATTTGAGGAGTGAGCCAGCGGATGGCCCACTTTCTGTCTTTCCCTCTCTAACTCTACCTTTCAAACAAATAAACCTTTTTAAAATAGTCTATTCATACTGAACAGAGGGAAAGCAGCTCAGTCATTGTACCAAATTAAGGCTAAACATATCTCTAAATATCTTCCAAAAACAGTCTTTTTACATGGTGATTAATACGGTTTGTCTGAAAGTTCTTGCTTATTCTTAACCACACAAACATAGTCATATGTTCTCCCTGATGTTTGCTGAATATTGGGACCCAACTGGGAAAAAACTGTTAACCCAAACTTAGGAAATTAGAGTCATGTTAAATCAGTACAAAAGTTCACTGTCATCAAGAAAATAGTGTAGCTTACAAAACATATTGCTTTTGAAATTGTGAATGCTGTTGGTAAGATTCCTATAAAGGGATATAGACACTATTAGGGTAGCTTGAATATTACTATATATAATCTGTTTTCATAAAAAAGAGGGGGGAGAAAAAGATGCTTTCCCAGCCAATTAACAAAGGTAGAATCTCCATCATGTCATTCTCTATGACAAGAATAACTTCTTCTAAGTGCTTAGATCATAAGCTTTGTTTAATTATACATAAGGTATATTTAAATTCCTTTTATTTTCCTCAGCAGGGGGTGCATTCTTGTCTCAATCACTGTAAGTATTGCTGTTTACCTGATATTTACAAAGTAACAGCAGCAGGGAACTACTCCTCTCCTTCCATCAACAGTAGTGTTCCATTTAAGCACAGAAGGATTTTACCCAGGTTAGTCCAGCAGGAGTTTTGTGAAAGGAGTTTTTCCTATACCCTTAAGCAGCCACATAAGCAACCCATTGGGTGACGAAAGGGAGGAGATTATGGAGCGAGCTGAACAGGATGGCAGTTCAGGAGCTGCAGGACACATCTGGCCACAGGAATACAGCACCTGCTAAAGCAACCACATGCGTCTTTTCCTGCCTAGCAGTTCTTTGGAAGGCTCTGCTGCAAGGCAGGAAACTTAGCAAGGAAATGACCCGATTCCAAACAACAAACATCTAGTTGTGACAATGATTGGAAACGGTGTGAGATCACGCAGCTGTGCAGTGGGAATGGAGGGTACATTAGGATTCTTAAAATTGCCCCACACCCGACAAGGTTTTTCTCCTATCCTCATCTCCATCTTAAAGTAAAATTTAGCTATCTAATGCCCACCTCCTATTTGTCCTGGAATAACTCCATACAATTTCAGGAATTATTACTATCTGTAAAATATCTGGGTCTAATTTGCTCCATCTACTCCGAGACCAACTCTTACCTGCTTCTGAATTGTCTATTTCAGAAGAGAAGGAAGTTGAAGAATGAGCTACTCCCAAACTAGGGGCATCTAGGTCTTGTTGGAGAATTGGAAGACAGCAGAGTCATGGTTTATAAATTCCTCCATTGAAATAAAAAGGAATACTCCAGCCCTAAAACACTTGATACTGTACTCAGAAGTGACTGTAACCCAGATTCCAGGCTCCAGAATGGGTGTGGGAGGTCACCCCTACACCTCTGCCTGCTTGGCCTGTGTGGGAGGTCACAGCACACCATGTCCCCCAGGGGAACCCCTGATTTTGGTTTTGCTAACCGAGAGCTCAACCTGGCATGTTCACTGGATATACAGATGAGGGTGGTGGGTTATACACCAGTCTCTCTTCTCTGTCCTTGGAGAAGCTGTGCTGGGACCTTCTTAATAAGCAACTCTGAGTGCCTAGCACAGTGGCCTAGTGGTTAAATCCTTGCCTTTCATGTGCCAGGATTCCATATGGGTATCAGTTCGTATCCTGACTGCTCCACTTCCCTTCCAGCTCCCCTTGTGACCTGAGAAAGCAACAGAGGATGGCTCAAAGCCTTGGGACCCCACACCCACGTGAGAGACCCAGAAGAAGTCTCCAGCTCCTGGCTTCGGATCAGTTCAGCTTTGGCCATTGCAGCCTCTTGGAGAGTGAGCCAGTGGATGAAAGATCTTTGACTTTCCTTCTCTCAGGAAACAACTTTCCAATTAAAAAAAGCAACTCTGCCAGTGACATGTAGTGTGTGATCTTCAACTGATCTACAGCCACACGTGGTAAAACTGACCGGTGGCACATACCTGCCAGCCTTGCATGTTATATGTGATCTATTACAAGACTGGAGGGTCCAGAGATGTAGACATGCCTTCTAACCAATTACAATGTCATTGTTAGGTGGGAGGACTGTCAGCAGACGCCTTTCTACCTTCCCCTTTGTTAGTTTATATAAGTTTGTGCTGGTTTTACCATAAACAGACATGTTGGATCAGACTGTGTCTGGTGGTTCTTGTTGCTGAAAAACACCATTACCTCATTCCTCAGTGGTTGCATGGACCTGCTAGGCAGGAAACACCTGAGAGATGGGCTGCTTAGTAATTGCAAGATGTGCCTGAAGCTCTGCAAAGAAGAAGCACCACACAACATCTCATTTCCAGCCATCCCCAATGTCTGACCTAATAGCTTCCTAGGTTATGGTATTGATGGCAAATTCCAGGTATTAAAAAAAGTGAAGTTTTAAAATTACTGTCACCCAGTAGTCTGTGGCTTTTTTTGAAGAAGTTTAACCATGAATTTTTAAGTGTTCTTCAATAGGACTAAAAGTAACAAACGGGAAAAAATGTGTCAAGAGGATCACTGAAGTTCAGTTCTTTTTATACCCATAATGAAAATTTGTCTGAAATAATTACAAATGTTATCATCACATCTGAAAAGCTATCATCACATCTGAAACACCAATTCAGAGCACAGGACAGCCTATAGTTGGCTTTAAAGCAACATCTGTCTGAATATACTTATGATATCAATGATTTTATACTAATTTTAAACCACCAACTTGAACACAATGATTTAAAGTATAGTATGTTTTAAGATGTGAATAGGTTCATAGTTACAGATGCTATGATAGTCTTTGGAAATAATTCAATCATATAGTAGAAGCAAGCTCTTAGATAAAACATACGGGAAACTCTAACATCTAATCCTAGAAAGAAAAGATATACATCAATGGCAACAGTTTATAGTTAGACATACCACTTTAAATAATCTGATGAATTGAATCAACTCAAAGTGGATAAAGTTACTAGAAGCTCCACTGGGAGAAGAGGCCTCAGACTTATTTCCTATCTCTCTGTTGCATCATGCAATGTTAGCTGTGCACGAGGCAGCCTCTGGTTATGATGGTGTTACCACAGTTGTCAGGAGCAGTACAAGCCAAATGCTTCCTCTGGCATATCCTGAGAAAATGCTTACTTCGGCTCCAGGGTTTGAAGCTAAAATGCTGTGTGAGTCCCTGAATGGAGGCACTCACAACACTTAACACCCCTTATTAGTGTTTGTGGTGAAGAAATGGCTTTTCCAATCAGGTTGCGTGTCTGGAGCAGGGATAAAATATTTCCTAAGCAGGATAATAGATTACATAGGAAATAAGGAAAATTACAGGGAACAAAAGAATAAAACCTGAACAACACCAACATCTGGACTGAAGGACTTCGACTGTATTTACTGAAAATTATAGGAACTGTAAGAAAAAATAATTTCCAAATTACAAATAAACAACAAAATTCCAAGGCCAGTATGTTTCTCTTTTATTATTATTTTTGCATTTGACTTAAGATGGTTGAATGACTTTGTTTTCATTTATAAGCATTACATCAAATCCCATGCAAAAACCCAAAACCGCATATGCCTGATTTCAACTGGATAAAGTTCAACATTTGTATCTGGACAATTCCAGATCAAACCCAAAATGTTGTTCGAGTTTCTCATTAGTAAACATCACAGGTATCATTTGACCGGTGACCAGGCCCCCGCCCCTTTAAACACATATTGGCCATGAGTCCACACCAAAAGAGAAAGCCAGTTCCTTGGAGTGCCAAAACCTGGCAAATAGCTTCACTCACAGGTGGAGCCCTGTGCACCAAGGTCACTCCCCACAGATACATCCTGGTTCCTGCGCTCTGTAGTCAAATCTGCTTTGGAACAGATGTCATATCTTTATTTGGGGATTATAAATTCTTCCTCAAAATTCTCAGAAGTAAAGAGACTTTGTTTTTTTAAAAAAGTTTATTTCTATAACCCCAAAAGAAATAAATATAAATACATGTACTTTATCAAGTATATGTTTTCTCCAGCTTTCTATGGAGTCAATTAATAGTTATAAAGCTTTAAAAATTGTTCTCCGTGAGATAGGAACCAGGAATATCAAAGAGAGCAAAACAGGACCCCACAATCAAAGAACTAAACAAACGCAAAGTTAATCATTCTACTGATGAACAGAAATGGGCTAAGTGGAAAAATAACATTTAAGGAGTCGATGTTAACTTAAACACACGTTGCAACTCTGACAGTGGCAAAGACGTCAATAGTGCAAATAACAATTATAATGGTATGTTCTTTAATAGGATTTAAATAAGGCTTCAAATAGTCACACACACACTAAAACTAACATTTGGAAACCTTAATTCTGTTTGGAAAGCTTTCAGGAACACCCTCCAAGCCATCCATGTTCTCCGGTTTGAGGACAATTACATTCAATGGCAGCACTATCACTTTCAATGCTTACAAAGTTTGGTGGACATGGGCAGACTATTCTGGCCACTGGTGAAGAGAAGTAAGTCCAGTTAACATGCCAGGTAGTTCCCAGGCGCATATTCTCAAATACCCAGAAGGAAAAAAGCTTATTTCAAAAACAAACACAAAATAATAGCAACGATAGAATCCTTGGTGTCTGGGAAAAAAAAAAAAAAAGGTTCCTCATACCCAGTAGCAAATTTGCACAAAGTATAAAACAAAAAAGCAAAAGGATTCATGGGCATTCTCATCTATGGCTCAAGTTCTCCAAAAACAAAACAATACACTAGGTAACGATGATGACAAAACGTAAACAACAAAATCAGAGGCAGATTGTGAAATAGTAATATACTGTTTCAGAGCCTGCACCATCCTGCAGAACCAGGAAACTTAAATTTGTTCTTAACAAATCCAATCTAGGCTGGATATGTAAAAAACGGAAAGATAGCATCACAATCCACACTACACATTATGAGACTTTTGGAACCAAGAAAAAAAAAATCAGCAAAGCACTCAGAAAAATTTATCATCAATTCTGAAATGAGGCCTTGTGACATCATCAGGGTTAATAAACACAGAGATGGATTTTCCCGGGTTCTCAGTCACCAGTTGCTGCAGTTTTTTGGCTAAACGATCATCAGGCTGATTGGGGTCCCCTCCATCAGACTGTGGGGAGGGGATGCTGGTGGTGCTACCGCGCCTCTGCAGCTCCAGGGTCAGCCGGTTGGCAGCCTTCACGTGCTCGATGGCGGTGCGCAAGTGCTCGGCCGGGTCTGAGCGCACAGAGGACAGCTTCCGCGCGTGGAGCATGACGGTCTCCTCCGAAAGGTGCTCCAGCATGTTGCACTGAGGGATGAAATAATTGGGGCACATCTTGTTGACCAGGCAGTGTTGCAGGTCATCAATGAGGCCCAGCAGGAAGTGGGCTGCATAGTCCTCTTGAGCCAAGTAATTGGCCGGAAGTCTGTCGCAAGCCCAGAGCATCATGCTGCGTAGGTGGTAGGGACTGATTGCCTTCGGGCGGGACAGGAGTTTAATGATGATGGCTTTGCAGGCCTGGTAGGCCTGCATGAGACTGCTGGAGATGCACTTCTTCAACTGCACCTCACTCCTGGCAAAGGAGAGCCGCCATTCGTTATCCTTCTTGCCCTTGTAGGAGCAAGCAGGCACCAGGTAAAACCCACTGATGACCTCCTCCTCGGTAATCTTCCCATCCCAAAAGTGGTTCTCCATGAGCCAGCTCTGGGCCACTGCGGGCCAGCCTTTGAAAGACACCACAGGGACGATATCGTACAACATGCGACTGCTGCCTACACCCAGAATAATGGAGATGATAGTCCCATTCTTTTCTACCTTTTCCACCTTTGGCATCCCCCTCTGGGGTTTTCTCTGTATCTCAGATAGGACGATGCTGATGGAGTCATAGAACCAGTCAGCCACTTTGGTAGGGGAGAAGAAGTAGTTGGTGGCACCGTTGATGTGGTCCACAATGGTACAGCAGTCTTTCCATTTGCTGATCGTGCCCTCGTCAAAGAGCCGGAGGCTCAGCCAGGAGTGGCATAAGGCTGAGTGGCGCATGTCAAGTGTCACGGGCTGGTTGCGGTCATGCAGTTTGAGGGCCGGTACCAGAAGGGTGAAGTCCATATCATAGTCAGTCCCCCGGGCATACACATTGAGCTCATCTAAGTCCAGATCCACCACGCCTTCCCTGACTCCTCCAGAGAGTAACAGGTACTCATTTGCCACGGGAAGTTTTTGGTCCAGCTTTTGCACCATTCCTAGAAAACAAAAGAGAATACAGTAGTCCAAGAAGCACAAACCCAAGAGTCTGCTACTTTCAGACAAGATGTTCTGACCTTCTGACAGAGACCTGAAATTCATCATCAGTCCCGAGCCAGATCTCAGCCTGCCACATAGATTCAATGACCAGAGCTTGGTTGTTTCTTGCAAGCACTAAAATATGCACTTTTGCAAATGCTAAGGGTTAAGACAGATTTTTTTCCCCCTCTCACAACAATATGCATTATCACTTCAGTCACAAATCAGGAATCCTCTTCCCCCCATTCCATTCATTCATGGTACTCTCATCTCTCTGGCTCAGAATGCTTCACTTCTTCTACCAGATCTCACCTCCATATCCTCTGCCATGCTTGTCACATCCATCTCAGTTCTCCATCTCTATTGCCATTTTGTCAGGACAGGTCCCTTTTGTTTCTGGCCAAAGCAATACCTACCATCCACCAGGCTCTCTCCCTACTTTTCTCTACCCCAGCAGTTCTCTGCGAAGGCTGCACTCATTCTCAATAGTTAAAAGTCATTTCCTTTATAACAGTATGGACACGTGATTTTTTCCCCCACTTTTCCAACACAGGCACCTGTGGTGCAAATGCCATGGAGAAGAGCACTGCGGAGGTCACGGTCCAAATCAAAATAGTGGTAGCAACCTGTGCTATGAGTCTGCGCACCCATCACCCTGACATGCACCAGCAGGCAAAATTGAAAACCCTTTTCACTTCAGCACAGATCTCATTTGTGGAAGGAAATGATTCATTTTACTAAATCTCAATCTGGGAGGCCTTAAAAAGACAACCTTTCTAGCAGTCTGTGAGGCAAAGCGGGAAGTCTACCCCAGCCTAGCCCGCTGCCCTGTCCTAAAACACAGCTGTATTCAGGAAGAGCACTCCTGTCTTTGTTTCTACAACACACTTCTACTTTACAGGAGGATCGTGGGACCACATTTATTCAGACCTGGGTCTGTGGCAAGCATTTTCTTAATGAATGAGCAAAATGAGCCTGGCTTTGCATATCACTGGCAAGAATGAAACTGACGATTTCCAGAGAAAAGTAAAGTTTAGAAAACCTACTTCCTATACCATGAGCGAGGCATTTTCTCTAATTGCTTGCATTTCTGATGAGACTGGTGGTAATATTGATGGGGCTGATTTTTTTAAAAGGATTTTGAGTCCATTGTGGAGAATCCAGACTTAAATATGAACTAAGCAGTGATAAGGTCCGCGCACAGTAGACACACAGAGGTTTAACTAAAGGAGGGAGGAACATATGCAAGCAATTAGTGAGTAGATGACACTAACTGATGAAATTACCATAAGTGCTTAAATAAAGGCTAGACTTTATTCCATGAAAACGTACATTTTCCTTTGATTTTTTTATGACATCTTCTTTGTGCTTCATTATCTGATAATTAGCAAAGGTTTTTGCAATTTATTTCACAGCTTTCTCTCAAAGAGCTATCACAAATCAATATTCCATCATTTATTACAATTACCTTAACCCAATACAACTTGTTGCTCACAGCCTAATTCCAAAGCAAATAAACAAACCAAATATAGGTGCTTTGCTATCATGATTGTTTTTTGTGGGTGTGTTTTAATTTTATTTTTGATGATGTTTATATAGTTGATTAGGGTGGGAAGGATCAAGGACTAGAGGAAACTGGGTGAGACCATTGCTTCCCTATTTTTTTTTCTTCTTCCTGTATCTGGGGGGAAGGGAGGAGAAAAGGGTAGAAGCCACACTAGGCCTCCCAACAGCCTCAGTACCCGGGGTAGGGAATGGCCACAAGACGTCATCACAGGATCCCCAATGTGAAGCATGTTCTGAGGGTTCTACTCGAGAGGTTTTGATAGTTCTGACATGCTGTGGATCTTACCGGTCAAAGGATGAAGAAATTCTTCCAAGGTGAACTGGCTGACATATTCCACCTTAGAGTCTCCATTCACCCAGTTATTCGCTGTCAATGCTTGGCTGGAGTAGTTGATCAATTTGTTCTGCCCTCCTTCCCCTGCTGTGGTACCAGATGTCCTCTGCAGGCTCTGATGGACTGCTATATCCTCCACATGCATCTGGGTATGCCATTCACTACTCAGTCTAAGCCTAAGGAGGCCCAGTTCTGACACATGCTCTCCATGTCAGATCACAGGTCCTACCACTCTCCCCATTGTTGGAGTTCTGAATCCAGCGGTTTAACTGGGGGGACCCACAAAGAATCTCCTCTGAGGTTATCCCAGACCTGATTCTTGTGTATACCTGCCATTGCGCTCACCAGTGTGGGGTCCAGTTCAATCTGTCACCCACATCAGCCTACACACACATTGGTAGATGTAATTGCTAGGTAAGATCTATCTCCTGCTCTGCCTCTTATGCAAACCAACGGGTTCTGCAGCTCAGACCAACACTGCCCACCACACACTTGGCCCTCATGTACACCATCGGGAGCTACAGTCCACTCAGTGACTCCCAATAACCCCCACTGGGCAGGCCCACAACCCTGATTCCTATGCCTGCCAGCATTTGCACTGAACTGGTCCAGTCTGTCCCATATCAAATTTAGCTCTTGTAGAAATCACTAGGAGCTGAAGCCTAATTCCACTGAATCGACCGCACCCTCCATTCCACACTCATGCCAGTAGGTACCACCACTTATCTAATCATGCCCACATCCAGTCCCAGTTCTCATGCTCACCAGTGGGAGTTGCAGCCCATCATAGAGGAGCCTACAGTTTTCCTATTGGACCCACTCCCTGTCTCGGATCTTGCACTCTCCGGGAGGTTCTGCAGTCTAGCTCAACAGGACTTGTTGCAAGTCCTAGCACTTACCAGCTAATGCAGTAGCAAAGCCCGACCAGCCTGGCTTTACTCTGGCTCACGACTGCACCAGTGGATACAATCAGTTCGCCGAGCCTGGTTCTCCCCCTAACCCAGTCCACATGTAGGCCAACAGGTATTGTAGCCATGCATGGCTTGGTCTGCCCCTAAAGCTCCCCTACCAAGCTTGCAGTGACCCTCTCCTCCCTAGATCTCACATGTGCTGGTGGGTGCTACAGCACAGTCTGGCACAGCCCATCTCACCTTGGCATTTGCTGGTCTGGTCTGCCCTCAGTTCTAGCTTGCACTGGTGGGAGCTGCCATTCAACCTGATCCAGCTAGCCCTCAGTCCTGGCCCTAATGTGCACTGGCTGGTGCTGTGGCTTGACCTCTCCTGTCCTGCTCCCCATCCTGGTTCTCAGATCTGTCAGTGGGTATTATGAACTGGTCCAGCCTGGCCTACTCCCAAAACCTGACCCACTTGTATGTCAGTGGATACTGAGACCCAGCCTGGTCTGGGATGCCCCTTGCCTTGGTTCTTGGCTCATCTGCAGGGACTGTGTCCTGACAAAGGATTTCCCCAAGCTCCTCTATCAGGTCTCCTCCTAGTGGCAGATCTCATGCACACTGGTAGGTCCTTGGCCCAGACTGACTTACTCCACCTCCTGTCCTGGCAGGAATAATGGCCCTGACAGCCTGGCCCACATTCATTCCAGTTCTCACTGTTTGGTACTACAGCCCAGCCATACCTAGTCCATGCCCAGACACAGCTCTCACATGCTTCAGCAGGAACTGAGACTATTTTACACCAATCCTGACTGACGAGAACCAGTAGATGCTGGAGTCCAGCCCAGTCTGGCATGTTGCAGACCCAGTCTATACCCATACCGAAGGAAATAGCACACATGTCCAGCCCAGAGTGCTACCCTCATTCTGGCCCTTGCGCTTACCAGTGGTAACACAACCTACTTGTGTGTCCTCTTAGCTTCCCAGCCACAACTCCTGCACATACCAGTGGTTGCTCTGACCCAGCTCAGCATAGCCCATTCCCCATCTTCATCTTTGCCCATCAGATGCTGCAGCCTGGCTTGACCCAACCAGCTCCCAGTCCCAACTTTCACTGGTGGGTGCTGCAGCTTAGCCCTACTCAGTCTACTCCCATCCCTGACTCTTGCAAACTGGTAGTTGTGATAGCCTAGCCTGGCATGACCCACCCTCCAGTCTGGCTCCTGTGTGTGCTAGTCAGTGAAGGCTAGCATGGCACTGCTTGGCCCGCCCCCTCCCAGAACCAACCCATACATTTGTCAATAGGTGGAGGTTTCCTGCCTGGCCTGACCAACTCACAGGCCTGAATCACATGCTCACCAGTGGGAGCTATGGCCACCAGGGGAGTTTTTCAAGTTCCCTCACCAGGCCCACTTCCAGACCCAGATCTCCTATGACTCGGGTCATACCAGTGGATGCTGGGCCCTGACCCGGCATAGTCTGTCCCCTCTGTCCTGACTTACATATGAGCTGGTGGATGTTGTGGCCTGTCCAACCCACACCCCTTTTCTTGAGTATGTCTGAATCAGCCTGGCATGTACCCAACCCCAGTATCTATTAGTGTCGTAGGGTTCCATGGTCATGTCCAGCTCAGCCCATCACCACCCCCAGCTCTTAAACAAACCAGCAGAAAGTGTAATCCCAAAGGTTGGACCCACACACATTCCCACAAATTCTGCCACAGACCTGATTCTTTCATGCATTAGTTAATGTCCTGGCCCAGCCTAACATTACCCATTCTCTCACTGGCAGGTACTGTGATCTAGCCCTGCCAGGTAGGCACCCAGCCCTAGCTTTAGTGTGTACCAGTGAGTGGTATTTGGTAGTGCTTGATGCTAACTACCACAGCTCAGGTGTCTCACGTGGGCTATTTCTTTGGTCTGACCCTTAAATGCTCTCACATTGCCCCACTCCAAACCACTTGGTCTCAGCTCCCTTGCTTACCAGCACATACACTAGCTTTGTTGGTGGAAGTCCCTCAGTAGTCATTCCTCACCTGTATCACACTCCCTCACCATTCCTCCCTCCCACACATCTCCTCACCCTCTGCTATGGTAGTGTATGTCCTCTGCAGTTCCCAGAGGACCATCACATTTTCTGTGTGCATCTGGGTATGCCATTCTCTGCT